AAGCCCATTAGGTTAAAAGTAGGTCAAATATTCTCTATAAATAGAGAACCCTTTGTACAGATTATTTACAATTCTATAATATATCAGAATACCCTTTTTCAAGTTGGTATCAGAGCTCTCGATCTGAGGGCTTTGCTTCCGCACATATTATCTTCTTTTTTAACAAAACCCTAATTTCTTTGCCTCTTGCCGCTACCGGAAAATTTTTCCGGGGACCTTTTGGACCAAGGGGACCATTGTTGACCTTATTTTTCCTCCGATCTATCATTCTACGCAGTGTTCCTCCGCCACAAACGACTGAAACACCTCCGATCGCCTCCAATCAGATCTGTCTTCACCGTTTGGACCACTTTCCGGCGACTTTTCAACCGCGACCACCCACAGACAGGTGTGCGCTCACCGGACGACCACACCATAAAAATCTCAGCCGGCGAAGCCCATCCACGCGCTCTCACGCGCCGCCCCTTTCCCGGCGAGTGAATCCCACGCGCAGCTCCTTTCTCCGGCGCGTGGAGGCGCGTGCGGCCGTGTTTTTGGACCGGACCACCACCATTCTTCTCATCTTCTTGTCTTCTGTCTGGATCTATAATTATTTTTCTGATCAGAGGTCATTTGATATTCTGTTTGGTTGATTTTATCGCTGGTTGTTAACTTTTTTTGTTAAAGAATGGCTGAGCATGATAGTTCTTCGATCTTATCTGGTAAGAGCACACGTTCTATATCTCTTCTTGCTTCTTGCACTGATTTTAAAACCTCATGGATTTTGGATTCTGGTGCAACTGATCATATGGCTTGTCGTACTGAGTTATTTTGTTCTTGTCATCCTACTGTTGGTAGTCATACTATATCCGTAGCTGATGGATCCCATAAATCAGTTATTGGTTCTGGTAACATTCAAATTCAACCTTCCTTGTTTCTTAAAAATGTTCTTTATGTTCCTCAGCTTTCTACTAATCTTATCTCCACTCAAAAACTTACAACTGATTTGAATTGTTCTATCACATTTTTTCCTTCTCATTGTCTTATTCAGGATCTTACCACGAAGAAGACAATTGGAGTTGCTAATGAACAGGATGGGTTGTATCATCTCCTTCCAGACCATGCTAGCAAAAATCAGTTATTAATGACACGTCATCCTTCTACTGCAGAGTCTATGATTTGGCTCCATCACAAGTGTCTCGGGCATCCACCATTTAGTCTTTTGAAGTCTATGTTCCCCTCTCTGTTTCTCAATAAGTCGGTTGAGACCTTTCATTGTGATGTTTGTGAATTTGCAAAACACCATCGAGTGTCATTTCCTTCTAGCACTATTAAAAGCAGAGAACCTTTTTCTCTTATCCATTCTGATGTTTGGGGCCCTTCTAAAGTGCACAGTGTTTCAGGTGCTAGATGGTTTGTTTCTTTTATTGACGATTGTACTCGGATAACATGGATATACTTGATGAAAGACAAGTCTGAAGTACCAGAGATATTTATTCGGTTTCATCACATGGTTGAGACTCAGTTTGGTAAGGGTATTAAAAGACTCAGATCTGATAATGGTACTGAGTACGTCAATCAACGCCTGTCACAATTCATTTCAGACAGAGGTATGATTCATGAGCTCACATGTGTTGATACCCATCAACAAAACGGGGTTGCTGAAAGGAAAAATCGTCACCTTCTTGAAGTTGCTAGAGCACTACTTTTTCAGACATCTGTTCCTAGTTCTTATTGGGGAGAAGCAGTATTAGCTGCAACTTTTTTGATCAACCGTTTACCTTCACGGGTCCTTAACAATATCAGTCATATTCATTCCATGACTTCCTTCTTTCCTTCTGTTCCCATATTGCAGAGCCTTCCACCAAGAGTGTTTGGATGTGTTGCCTTTGTCCATGTTCATAAACAACATCAGAGTAAGTTGGATCCTAGGGCTCTTAAGTGTGTCTTCCTTGGTTATAACCCTTATAAAAAAGGGTACAAGTGTTATCATCCACCAAGTCGGGAATTTTTTGTTTCTATGGATGTCACCTTTCAAGAATCTGAATCTTATTTCCTGGGTCCTCATCATCAGGGGGAGAATAGTTCTTCAGAAGACTCGTCCCCTTCCTTCTTTGAGTCTAGATCAATCTTCTCTCTTCCTAGTGTGTCTGCTCCTGGTGTGTCAGAACCTTCAAATACACCTGAGATACAACCCATACTGTCTCACCAGCAACCTCAATCGTCTGAACCATTGGTAAGTCCTGAATCTCCTATTTCTTCTGAATCTCCTGTTTCTGATTCTAATATTATTTCCTCTCATGATTTGTCTATTTCTTCTGATATCTCTAATGACTTACCCATTGCTTCTACTTCTGATGACTTACCTATTGCTCTTAGAAAAGGAAAAAGATCTTGTCACAAGAAAACTTGTTCCTCCTGTCCCTCTTGTACTCAATACCCTATCTCCCACTTTGTTTCCTCTGCTAATCTTTCTGTGCAGCACAAAAGCTTTGTTTCAGCACTAGATTCTATTGCAATCCCAAAATCAGTACATGAAGCCTTGAAAGATAGGAATTGGGCTCAAGCCATGCAAGAGGAGATGAATGCTTTGGAGAAAAATAAAACATGGGAGGTTATTGATAGACCCAACGGAAAGAAAGCAGTAGGGTGCAGATGGGTTTATACCCTGAAATATAATTCTGATGGCACTCTTGAGAGATATAAGGCTCGATTAGTGGCCAAAGGTTACACTCAAACCTATGGCATTGATTATGAAGAAACCTTTGCTCCAGTTGCAAAGATGAATACAGTGAGAATCTTGTTATCCCTTGCTGCCCATTACAATTGGGATATAAATCAATTTGATGTGAAAAATGCTTTCCTCAATGGTGAGTTAGAAGAAGAAGTCTACATGGAAATCCCGCCTGGTTTTGATTCTGTGAAGGGGGAAAATAAAGTTTGTAGATTAAAAAAGGCCTTGTATGGATTGAAGCAGTCACCTCGTGCTTGGTTTGGAAGATTTACTAAGGTTATGATGACCTTAGGATACAGACAGAGCCAAGGAGATCACACTCTTTTCTTCAAGCACTCCCAAAATGGGAAGCTTACTGTGCTCCTTGTATATGTTGATGATATTATTATCACAGGTGATGATTTTGTGGAGAGACAGATTCTGCAAACACGGCTTGCCTCTGAGTTTGAAATCAAAGACCTTGGGAAACTGAGATATTTCCTAGGGATAGAAGTAGCTCATTCAAGCAAAGGAATTTTTATCAGCCAGAGGAAATATGTTCTTGATCTTCTCAAAGAAGCAGGAAAGCTCGGGTGTAAACCCTCTAATACTCCTATTGAGCAGAATCACAAGATGGGCTATGAAGAAGAGAGTCCTCCAGTTGATAAAGGACAATATCAACGGCTAGTTGGGAAATTGATATATCTGGCTCATACTAGACCAGACCTAGCTTATGCTGTTAGTGTTGTCAGTCAGTTTATGCACGATCCAAAAGAAAAACACATGCAGGCAGTAGAGAGAATTCTTCAGTATCTTAAAGGTACTCCTGGTAAAGGATTGTTATTCCGACGTATATATCTGGCCCATACTAGACCAGACCTAGCTTATGCTGTTAGTGTTGTCAGTCAGATTATGCACGATCCAAAAGAAAAACACATGCAGGCAGTAGAGAGAATTCTTCAGTATCTTAAAGGTACTCCTGGTAAAGGATTGTTATTCCGACGTGATGGCAATCTATCTTTAGAAGTCTACACAGATGCTGATTATGCTGGATCCGTGACTGACCGTCGTTCTACCACTGGTTATTGCATGTTTCTTTGCGGTAACTTGGTGACATGGAGAAGTAAGAAACAAGATGTGGTTGCCAGATCAAGTGCAGAAGCTGAATTTCGAGCTATGACTCAAGGCATTTGTGAGTTACTGTGGCTGAAAATTGTTCTTGATCATCTCAAAATAAAATGTGAGGGACCTATGAAGCTGCTATGTGATAATAAGTCCGCTATTTGTATAGCTCATAATCCAGTTCAACATGATCGGACTAAACATATTGAGGTTGACCGCCATTTCATCAAAGAGAAACTTGATAGCGGGTTGATTACCACTCCATACATTCCCACTAGGCGTCAATTGGCTGATCTATTAACAAAGGGGCTTCCTTCAGACAGATTTCAAGAACTTACTAGCAAGCTGGGAATGATAAATATTTATTCCTCAGCTTGAGGGGGAGTGTTGTAAATAATATTGATTTAGTTATTATTTAGTTTTTATTTAGTCATTTATTGTTGTATTGGGCCAAGCCCTTTGTTGTATTGGGCCAAAGCCCATTAGGTTAAAAGTAGGTCAAATATTCTCTATAAATAGAGAACCCTTTGTACAGATTATTTACAATTCTATAATATATCAGAATACCCTTTTTCAAGTCAATCTATCTTTTGATAAACTCACGTAAATTGATCGTGACATTAACATATTTAAGGGGACAATGAAAAAATAATTTTACTTTAAATAATGTTTTGATTTAATTATAAAAACTTCAATCACTGGAAAATGAGCAACACTACAACACAAAAGAGAGGTCTGAACAAGTAAACTCATTTTTTTTATTAGTTCTTTTGGTAGACATCCTTTTTAAGCCAGCTAAAAGGGAAATACGAAGTGATGACATTCGATCACTGCCATGGGAATAAAAGGATTTGCCTCAGCATTCCCAAATAGTTAATGAGTTTATCATCTATCATTTAACATGACTACAAAAATTTTTCTACACACACAACATTTTGTGGGGCCCGCAGCAAAAAAAAAAAAAAAAAAACTTTGGCACGCAAAACGAATCTCTATAACATAACACAATCATTTTTCCTACAACATAACTCTTATAAAACCCATACTTAATTTATCCATAAAAAGTACTTTAACCAACTACTAAATCATGGTTGCGTTGACTGATTAAATTTGCATTTTTCAGCAACATATTTTTTATTTTTCTTTATTGTTATCTGTAACTTAATTGAATAGCACAACACTCTATTGATGAGAAGAAGCGTAAGAATGAAGGAGATGATGGATGGAATTTGGCTTATCGGAAAGTCAGATGATGACACGTATTATCACAAGGGTAAGGACAATCAATGGCCTTAACACGTGCTCGGTCGAAATACCAGTCTCCAACAGCCACAGCAATTCCCTGCATAATGTCAATAACTACATGTTAGATACATAAATATCTTTAAATCAAAGATATTATCAGAAGGGAATTACAAATACTGACCACAGCAATGTTATATTAGCAAACAATCACCATTAAGTAGCATATTCCAAAATCAAGCATATATATATATATATATATATATAGAGAGAGAGGTAGGATCCTTTGACACCAGTGTCAAATTTAAAGTTTGACACCTCATCTGAGAGTCGTTAGATCAAAAAATATCAATGGTGTCACATGCTTACGAATTAGAGTCGTTGATATTTTTTGATCTAACATGTCACATTTTCAACTGATACTGCATTAGTAAAGTGCCAGATTCACCTTGTTCCTAATAACTGGAGAATTTTCAGCGAACCATGTATCCTGCCTCTCGGTTTGGCAGTGAGCAAAACATGAATTAATAAACAATCCATTTCGGTTTGATCTTGAGAAGTCTTTAATAGCATTCAGCATGTGATTCCTGAATCCTGTATTAAAGAGACTGAAATGTCTTAATCAACTGAATAATTTATTCAAGACCTCTCTCTACTTGTAATGAATGTTATTTCTCATACATCATATCACCTTGCAGAAATTGAATTTGTGATCTAGTGCATTTAGCATGGTTTAATCTGCATTCATGCCAATAGCCATGGGGATCTGCTGATGGAGGAGCTATACTGGCCTGGATCTGATGACAGGCAAGAAAATGTAATTGTTTAGTCGAATCTGTCAACAATTAATTTAATGACCACTACTGGCAGAGCTAATATAATATGATTAAAACTACCAGTTGATAAAATCAGACAATTCACCTGCCATGAATCATAAGCAGCATTAAGAATGAATAGCGGGGTTCTAACACTGGCAATCAAGTTCTGAGGGAAGAAGCACTGAAAAGGGATAAAAAAACCACTCATTGAAAGTTCAATTAAGGGCAGGCAACAGTGATAGATCCATTTTCTGCATATTCTTTCAAATGAAATTCATATTCCTAAAACTTTCACATAAGAGAATTCGATGATTACCGAGATGGGGTCAAGGTGATTAGTACAGATATGTGGCAGATTATTCTGTGCTCTCTGCAATGATTAAACAAATATTTATCAGCACGCTATAAAAAGTTATGACCATGTCAAATGAACAAGTTTTCAAACCATAGAAACTATTTGGCATGGGCTAGATACAGTTTACATTAAAGAAAGGTTCAAAATTAACTGCTAAAAATGAGTTCCTACTCAGGTTAAGCAAAAAAATCATGTGAAAGATCAATGACCAAACAGGATATGTCCACCATGATGCTTGAGTAAAACTGACATTTCATTTAACATCAGCTTTTGGTTCTGAAGTTGTTGAACCACATACTGTAAGTCAATTGTCAAGAGATGACAATGAAATATAGAAGTGCTTTCTTAATACATTTTGCTTTCAGACTATAATACTATAATAAATTGGCAGCCTGATAACCAATGTGGTACCTGCAATCCTACGACACCACTGTATAAATTCCTGAGGGTATGCCCGCCAGATACATCAATCCTATAATGCCAAAGGGAACAACAATTAACAACTAATTTAAGAAAGTTCTGTGAAGATGGTGGAAATGGCATTGAAAGCATGAAATACTGCAGTTTGTCACTTACGCATCAAGAAACAATCCAGCATCACTTAGACACTTCACTTTGGTAGTCATGGGAAAGAGACCTCGAAATTCATCACAGTGTATGATAGTAGCCAGGCCACCGGCTGAGCATCCCGAAAGAAGAGCCTGAAGCAAAATTAGTTGTACATAACATGAGAAGAAAGATTATTAAAATAGCATTATATATGTGTATGTACAAATGTGTCTACAACCTGGTTGGCAAAACGCATTCCCTTTGACATTAAATCTTCCATTGCAGCTGCCCAAATACGCTGTCCTCTAAATTGCAGTTCTGCAGTCTATCTCAACAGACAATTTATGCAAGTAAACCTAGTTGAATAACCCCCATTTCTTCATATGAATGTCAAATAAATTCAAGTTATGAATGTCAAATAAATTCAAGTCTATATCTGGCAATGAAGTCATCTGTCCATTTATATTTGGTTGACTAGCGGTGTATGGAATCTTATACTGTCAGTAAACCATATGGTACCACCAGTTTGAATTTTTTTTTTAAATCTTTTACTTCAAATGTAAAAGCATGACGTGAAACTTTCAAATTTAAACTCCTTCACTTGAACCTCTAAATTGAGCAGGTCACAAATCTTATTTAGCATATTATACTAAATTTGTAAGCCAACAACTTTTGTTAATTCATCTTCTTGCAATTAAAGTAGAATTAAGTATCATTTCAAGATCAAGATATCAAAATCTACCCGATCTTCGCCATCCCCAGAAAATGAGGCACCATCACAATAACGAAGCTTTACTCTGTTCCAATTGAAAAAATCTGCAAATATGAGGAACAATAACTTGAGCAAAACGGGTAATGCCTATAACAAGAAAAAGAGAAGAGCAAAACTTGAGCACTCCAGAATCCAGATAGTTCAATTGAATGGAAACCTGGATTTTCTTCAGCATTATTGCTTAGTATTCCCGTAAAAGGTATCTCCTTTTCCATGAATGCTGATGATCCGCGCCGTGTTTTCTTGCGATAAACACATGTTCTAATATTATTACACCATCCACCTCCCTGCCACAGTATTTTTCACTTGAATATCACTATAAATTTCTAGGCTAGCATCTTGATCAACACATAATGCTTCAAAATGAAATCAATGACATTTGTGGAACCTAAAGCTTTAGTCATGTCATGCCACAAAAATGGGATTCCCACAACACATTCACAAGAAAGGCTCTTGAAGTGCCAAAAGAAAGACTTATCAACCTTAATACCATATTCTTTAAAGTTACAAGACATTTTATGTAGTATACAAATCTATCATAGAAAATAAGCAGAACAATTAGAAAGATCAACTGATACCTCTAAATTAATAACCCAACTGTTTGCTCCTGATCCATATCCCCGATGCAAATGATAACCAGGTAAGGTTCCATCCAAGCAGACTGCCAGAGCAAAAGAAAGGAACTATATTTAGCCAAAGGCCAAATAATTATTAATTGGCATATTTTTCCATAAATATATTTCAGATTCTTTATGTAGAAACGTTCATATTTAAGTTAGTTAATAATTATTTGACATACGCAAGGATAATGTAACAGAGAGACAGGATCAAGGATTAAGTACCAGTAGTAAGAAAGGGGAACAAAACAGAATAGGTCGACATATTGGTCAAATTAACCAAATTGAATAATATTAATAACGAGATTAACGGATTTGTATTGAATAACATGCAACACATTTATAAATACACACGAGCAAAACGGGAAGAAATAAATTGAGTGCATTGTAAGTAACAATCTATTATTAAAATGAGAAAAGAAAGAAATTATATATCCATTTGTTTCAAGAGCTATTTTCCTCATAAGATAAAAAAATAAAATAAAATAAAAACATAAAATTAAGAAGTTAGAGATAGAGAGAAAAATAAAGAGTTGACAGGAAATGAGAAAGGTTGCAATTAAATTGTACCTGCTCCTTTAGCAGCAGCACTATGAATAAGGGTGAGTCCTACCAGCAGAGGATTCCTCCCGAGCAAGGATAAGGATGCTTCATGAGACTCCAACAAAGAAAGCTCCGTTTCATTGAAGTGATATTCATAGCCTACAAATCCATCAACCCAGTTGCTTAAAACAATTCCTATTGCAATGCCAACCCAGAAAAGTCTCGCCATGCCTCTTCTTTATTTGGGAGAAACAACACTAAGCTCTACACTTTGCTGGGGTACTCACAAATCACAATGCACAGCCAAATCTGACATTAGCAACAAAAGAAAAACCTTTTTATTCAGTATGTTTCGCCCCTCATAAATTTCTTAAATTTCGGAGCTAATTAAGGAAGACTTACGAGGTAATAAGAGAGATAAAGAAGGAGATTTATACAAACAAGTGTTTGCCGGGCTTTTTTAAGGATTTCATTTTGGTACGTTTGGAATCTTACAAAGTTTAAGATTTTAAAGGGAAAGCTAAATAAACAGCTGGTGAACACCGTTCGTGTCACAGACATTCGTTGCACATCTTTGTTGCATTTATTACGGGGTTTAATGTTTCTCGTTATATAAATTTATTTTTTACATATATATAGGGTTCTTCTAATTTATGTTGTATGAGAGAAGAAAATCTTTCGTATTATAGACACAGATATGGTGGAATCCATCATTTACAACAAAAAAAATGTCACAATTTTCAATGGATGATAAAACTATTTTTATGTTACACAAGAGTAATTTTTTCCATATATAAAAGTATATCAGATTCAAATGAGATTTAGAGATAAAAAGAGAAAGAAAAAATAATAGACCTTGTATATTTTTGGTTTTAATTTTTTTACATTGAATATAGATAAGTTATTTATATTTACTCTCGAAATAATGTTATTTTGGGTTGAAAGATTAAAAATTTATAATGAGAAAAATTATTATAACCCTGAAATAAATTATAATTGCAAATATATCTTGATTTTCGCCCAAAACAATGTCGTTTTGAGTTCAATGTAGATAATTTATCTATATTTTTTGATATATATTTTTAGGTTTATATAGAAGATAAATTTATTTCCTATAACGTTAAAAATATTAAATCTTTTATTTTAATCTACTTTTTGGAGTTACCCAACCCTAATTATCTCTTTGAGACGAGTTGGCTCCCTCCGGTATCCCCACGAGCTTCGACTCTTTGAGTCGGCTATGAGACTAATCCGGAGTGCGGGGGAATAGTGATGGCTAAAGGTTATTATTTTAATCTACTAATAATATTCAATGAAGCTATACAATTAAAAAATCTTTTATGATAACTAATATATAAAAAATTAAATTTTTATAACATATCAATAAGTAATCAAATGATGATATAAACAAACTTTCTTTGGGATAATAAATCAAAATTATATTTTTCCTTAATTTTGCACAATTTAAATAATCATGTAATGTATAAAAAAAATCATGTAAACTTAAAATTAAATATATATTAAAAAATTAGTGCCACAAATATCAATTAACATATTCGTGGCAAAAGAAAAGGAAAAATAAAATAAAAATCGAAACTAAAAGGGCACTCTGAATTTACTGAGAGCACGGGACATGGCGGTGAGCGGTGGTTGTATTTGTATGACCGTTGGGTAGTTCTTCCTCGTTTTCTTATTAATTGATCTCCGGTGTTTGCTAAGATATTTTTTATTTTGTCCTCGTGGACATCCGATCAAATTGAAAAGATACAGAGATATTTTTTATTTTATTTTATTTTGGCTAATGATCTTCTCGTCAGCCTGAGAAAACAATAAAATATGTGATAACTAAGAGGAAAAACTATTGTTATCTCACATCATATAAATTTTTTCTCCTACACATCCTTTGATTACTGTGTCACTTTTTTCTTTTCTTTTCTTTTATTTTTTCAGGTAGTGGAGCTCACTAGTTTATTTCTATTACATGAGATAACTATCTCCTTTGACATGAGATTAATAAAACCCTAACTAAAAATATATGGAAAAAAGATGTGACATTTTAAATGACACATCTTATATCTTTTTACTCTCTCAAAAAAGTGGGACTCACAACTTTAAAACTTCCCCTCACTCTCATGATTTATCTCTTTCTTTCACTTAAAATGATCCAATTTTGTGTCCTTGAAAATAATACACAATTTTCTCAAAATATATATAGTGTTATACATTTGGCGTAATATTTTATAAAATTAAAATTATTGAAATTTTTCTTATTATTTCCTCTGCATTTAGTTAGTGATCCTTTCACATGATCTATATGATGTGAGATCATCAGTTTATTTAATTGTCCTAAAATAAACTGAAAACATCTCTCAAAATCTTTGGCTTACATAAATTAGGAGAAGATTATAGTTACTACTAATTAAGTTTATTATTTCTTATTATTAAATTTTAACAGTTGATTTTCGTTAATCTAACGATTATAATTTAGTAAAAATTAAAAATTAATTAATAAATTATAACCATCATATTAGCAAAAATTAACGATTAAAATTAATGATAAGAAATGGTAAATTTAATTAGTGATAAATATAATCTTTGTCAACTAATTAATGCCTAATTATCATTTCCATAATTTCAATCCAAGAAAGTTCCAAATTTAGGTTGAGTTATCGGTTAATTGAGCAATAATTTTGAATAACATAATTAGCTAAACATCACAATAATTAGACGTAGTTCCCAGTTCAGAACCGCCGCAAGAGCAAAGAAATAAAAATTGAAAATTGAAGCTCGAATTCCATATGCGGATCCATTTTATTACTCTCTTTAATATATTTATATATAATAAATTATAGTTTTCACTCTTAAAAATAAAATATTCCTTTATACATTTTTTCCCGGTAAACAAAGCCTTATATACATTTTTTATTAAACACATGTTATTTCTTTTACTTTAATAATTTTTTATATTCAATACTCTCTGTTTATTTTTTTTGTTTTTTTTTTGTTTATTCTCTTTATTATTTATAAAATAAAAAATATTTATTCTTTATTAATGTATTCAATTAAACATTAATTAATTATGCATGTATCTTTTTTTTTTTTTTGGAGATTATTATGCATGTATCTTTATTTTATAATCTAAAGTTTTATTTTCAAAAATTCTTTCCATTTACATTTTTTACATTCTACGTAAATTTAAAAATACTTATAAAAAATAATACTAGTAAGATGCAAAGCAAGTGTGGAACCCTGGAAAAGAACAAATTGCTTTTTAATTTTTAATTTTCATTCGGCCATGGGTACCAAACTTTTTTTGCTTAGGGGGATCAAATATGCGTTACTTTTCAATGTCCATTTCGAATTAGTATTTTTATTTTGACTACTTGAAGTGCAACAATAAACACCAGCCACCATCGCGCTACCCAAGTTAGTATCTTCGTTGCGTGTACGCAACTTCTCCGTATCTACGCTACCCCTTTTCTCCCATTTTCACTTTTGCCTATCAGTTTTTGTTTTTTGTTCTACACCTAAAACATACCTTTTTTTACTCAAACTAGCACCCCTTCTCCAACCTTAATTAATTCCATCATTTTGCATGGAGCTGCGAGTGAGCCACATGTTAGTGTCAAGTACTAAAGTAGTTCTTCTTGATGTGTATATCTTAATAATTATTGTTAAGTAACTTTCATGGAAGGGTGGACTATTTAAAGTACGAAAATGACTCTCATTAACCCATTTCATTTCTTGTTTTTATTTAAATTTTCTCATCAATATGTAGCGTGATGGTCAAATTATAAATCATAACGTTGTCCCGATCACGTGCACTAGACATAAAGATTAATGGTGAACCCCAATTCATGATCCCGAATAATGATACTCACAACAACTAATAAAAAAGAAAGGGTAAGATAGCGGGGGTGCATGTGACTCTGTGAGTGCTTCATGTCCCGAAGTCACATGCGCGCGATGCATCTTTTAGGCAAATGCCACACACTGCTACCTATCCCATGATGTTGCTGTCATGCACAAACAATTCAGCTAACACTAATTTAGGCAAGCTAAAAGGCAGCGAAATATATTAGATGGGGCAAAAAATGTAGGTCTCTATGGCATTCATCTAGCAAGACTTGATCTTTATGTACATTATAAAACACACCATGTTATTCTCCGCATTGCAGAAGTACTATAATGCACAAAACTTATTATATTTATTCTCAGTGGCTTACAGCCCCCAATAGCAAATCACGAATAATATACTAGGAGGGTACTTTAGTTCTCTGGCAAATGGTAATCCCTCCCTGATGGTATTTGAATTCTCTATGTTAGTTTGTATATTGTAAAGTTTTGTTCATTGTGTATATTAACATTGGGAAAAGTGTGTATCCTTTTAAAGGATACACACTTATATCCTTTTAGGAGAGATAAAGATATTAGAGTAGCATTAATTTGTTAGGATCCTGATTGTAACTATCACGGTTTGTTACCTTGTATATTAAAATAGATTAGCTTGATTTATGCTTTCTGTTCCTTAGTTTTAGCTGATTTCCTGATGTAAATAGATTAGCTTGATTTATGCTTTCTGTTCCTTAAGTTTAGCTGATTTCCTGATGTAAATAGATTAGCTTGATTTATGCTTTCTGTTCCTTAAGTTTAGCTGATTTCCTGATGTAACCAATTGTAAATCTTGGTCTATATAATAGACCCAATTTGATATATCATCAAGCTGCGAATGACAGCAACTTCTGTTATGGTATCAGAGCTTGACGATCAACAAGCCTTCATTTTTTTTTTTTTTCATCATGACTTCCGCACCTAAAACCTTCAAGGTTTCTGATTCTAAGTCACCCTTTTACCTGCACCCATCCGACAATCCTGGTGCTGTTCTCACCACGGTCATCCTCCGTGGACAATCCAATTATGAAAATTGGGCTGCTCATACTTCTCTGCCTTCGGTTCCTTCTGAGCCGTCATCAGCATCCATCTCCATGGCAGATTTTACACCAGAAGTTCTACAACATCTCATGTCCTTGGCTGTCTCTTCTGCCCCTCCAGTTGATAAACTTACGGGTAAGATTTTACACCCATCTTGGATCATCGACAGTGGTGCATCCCAACACATGACGGGCACACTCTCCTATCTATCCAATGTGCATTCTATTTCTCCTTGTTCTGTGGGACTGCCGAATGGAGTTCATGATATTGCTACGCAATGTGGCAGCATTACTTTGG